GCCCGATTACTGCGTGTTTCAAAAGATTCTTCAGATAAAAGGAACTTCGTAGGTTTTGGAGCGGATTTTGGAATTGTCTTTTGGGCAATTGAAGTGAGTGTTTCAGTAAAAGTTTTGATAGGGTCGTCGAGGTTAGTAAAATTGTCTATGGTTAGTTTTTCAATGCACATGTGTTGGAATTGGGCCCAATCTGCTTTGTGCATATTCCATCGAGGTAGAGGATCATCAAGAGGAGTCCCAATATTCTTAAGAAAAATTGGGAAGTGGTCACTCCCACAAAGATCATCATTTACCCTCCAGTCATAGTCAAGTAGAATGGATGTATGCATAATGATAGATCAATGTGGGTACGAGAGCCTGTAGCAGGGTGTAAATAAGTAGGGGTATTGTTGTTAAAAAGGCACAAGTTGTTTTTATCTATAAATTCCTCAATACGTCTTCCTCTCTCGTCTGTGTTGGGAGAGCCCCACAGGCTATTATGGCCATTAAAATCACCGAGGATTATGAATGGTGTTGAGAGCGGGGAGACGAGATTATTGAGTTGCTCACAAGTGAAAACAATACTCGGAGGGAGATAAATTGAACAGACAGCAACAGCCTGTACATTTGTGTTTAACTTTATCATTCTGTGAGGAATATTTTTATGGACAGCTACCGCTGCGCCACCTGCTGCTCTGCAACATACAGTTGGAATGTTAGTGTAGAGTGAGAAATTTCTAAGCGTGTATTGTATTATTTATCTTTTGCTATTTTGGCTGGATTTCGATGGAGTCGAAGCACGAAGCGCTGAGGCATTCGTCTCCATCTCATCATCGAAATCTAGTAGGACATTGAACCGGTTTGTCGGGTCCTCTGATCCTTTGCCAAAGGTGACATTTAGATCAGGTCCATCAGATTTGCCCCTCGCTATTCTATTTTTTTTCCTAGGTCTGTTGGTAGGTGATGTTGCGTCTTGCCTCAGTTGGGACCGAGGAACAGATGTGAGTGAGCGAGATCGCTGCGACCGCATCTGTGCCCTAGATGGGCCAACCTTTGGAGGGTTTTCTCCTGAAGAGGAAGGTGTTTTTGATGGTGTTGCTGGTTTTGATGGTGATGCTGCTTTTGACAGGTTGTTTGGTTTGGTTGTTTTGGTTGGTTTGGTTAAAGTCGTGAAACGGGATGGGTCCTCCGTGAGGATTTTCAAGTTCTGTTGACCAGCCATGTCAGGGACTTGTGAGCCCCAGATCTTCAGAAACTTGAACCGAAGCATCCTTGACCGTGACACTGTCAACCGGCGCCTTGCCTCGAGTCACCTGTGCGTAAGAGGGTGTAGCAATGTCTGCACTCCAGACTATCCTACTGGCCTCGGGGAAAGAGACACCTCGGGTATATTTAACCCGTAATATCTCCCTCTCCTGGCTCCAGGTAGGGCAGTCGCGAGAAGAGGCAGCGTGCTTCCCCTCACAGTTGACACAGCGCAGGCTGGCGATGTCACAGTCACTTTGTTCGGTTCGACCCTCACGGCCACAATACTGGCAGATCGATTTTCGTCTACATCGCTTTTCGTGATGACCGTACTTCTGACAGTTTCGGCATCGCAATGGATTTGGGATGTAGACGGAAACGTTGTACCTCTGGTATCCGATTGTTAGTATATGGGATAGTGTTGGCGTTGAAAAAAGTGATGATGAAGGTGTTTGTTTTGATAGTATCATTGTTTCTCCTGATCACCATCCGCCTCACCTCAGAGACCGGGACGCTCTCCTCCTGGAAATATGCCAGTATGTCTTCATCGGTGTTATTGCGCAAGGCTGGGCACCTGATTGCCCCCTTGCTGCAATTAAGTGATGAGTGTGGTTTCACACTGACACCGATACCGGCAAAACTGGTTGTTCCGAGTAGGTTCAATGCCTGTTGTTGGCGATAAACCTCTATAAGGAGATCGCCCGATCCCAATGGCTTAACGGATTTCACATCCCCTGCGATTCCCTGGATGCCCTTCCTCAACAGAAGTGGCGACAACGCGGCCGTTGTTTTACCATTCTGTGTGGAGGTCATCACAGGAGATATTTGAGAAAGATCTTCCCAAACGTCATGAGAAATAGCGATAAACATATTCACTGTCAAAATCCAAGATGGTCGCCTGTCGGCCATTTCATTCTATCTGATCGTTTTAAAATGTAAACATGCACAACTACACACCAAGGGGAACCTTCATCCTTAATTTGAGAAAGACCCCTTCTGTACTTTCTGAGAAATAGCGATAACAAGAATTGATTAAGGACGGACATTGGACAGACGGACCACGGACGAAGGGTGATTTGAATAGCTTCACCATCAGATGATGGTGGGCTAAAAGCAGCAAAACTAATAGACTAATGACTAGTGTTTACAGAGGGAAATTTGTTGCTGCATTATCAAAGATAAATAAATTAGCAAGGTCTTTAACATTTTTATCCTACTGGCCACCTCACTGCGTGTCAACTAACCAGGTGTGCTCAAAACAAAAAACCGAAAACTTTCTACCCACTGACTTTAAATGTTTAGACATGTTAGTAGAAATCAACTATTCTCTTATTTGGCCTAAAGACCTATGACCCTGATATTCTGAATCTTCATCTGAAGTTCCATGTGGCCCAGAACCAAGATGTTTGGACAATGATACTTAATTACTGTTTATAGAACAATAGTGCAAAGGTTTTTTGCTGGTCATAGTCACATGTTAACATTGGCTATAATGAGTGAAAGCTTTAATAATCTTCTGAACTCCCGTAAAGCCTAGGGTGATAATGTTTGGCTAGTAGTTACCTAGAATATTTAAGCAATGAAATTTCATGGATTTGGTAGACCTTGACTAACTGCCACACATGACAGCAATTTAAGCATTTCTGCTACACATGGGGCAGTTACTAGTAGGTTTTCCTTACCTGTGCACTTTATTGCTTATATTGTTAGCTCACCTGGCCCAAAGGGGAAAAAGCTTATGCCGTGGTGCGGCGTCCATTTTCAGTCCGTCTGTCCATCCGGCGTCAACATTTAAATACCGACATTTTTTTCTGAATAACTAAGAGGTGATGATATTGGGCCAGTAGCATGCTGGGAGGGAGGGGTCGATTGTCTTTAAAATCTTTAAACAACTGTTTCTGATTAATCGAAAAGATATATTGCCAATAGCAAATTAATGACCTTTATCCGTATTCAAGGTCACAGGGGGCAAATGTGATGACAACCTTTTTTTAAAGAACTTCATCTGAACAACAAAAACCAAACCATAGGTGATATTTTGCCACATGTACGATCAGAGGAAAAACTATCAAGTTTGTTCATGTGAATAACCTTGACCCACCTTCAAGTTCACATGAGGTCAAATGTATATAAACAAAAGATCTAGGGTGGTGATGTTTGGCAAGTTGCATCTTTGGATGAAGGGCTTAACAGTGTGTTCAACTTAATGACAGGGGTCAAATGTGTTTTTCTCTTTAAGCAGGTTCTTTTGATTCACTAGAAGACATTGTTTCTGATATTTAGCAATATTTTAGTCCAAGTTTAAGGTTACAAATGTGAAATTTCCTGAAAAATTGAAATGTTCATGCTGTAAAAGATGAGGCCATTTCAATAAATAGAACAGCAACACAGGTACAGCTGATGTCGCTCAGTTTCCTACACAAAATTAAAAGAAAACACAACACTTTAATTTCTGATTCATTTCTTTTAAATTGTCATAAATGAATAATTTGAAGTTAATTAAACAACTGTTCAATTAGTATAAATTAAAATAGGCACTTAATCACAAAAGTGTCACAGTAGTTATACTCGAACCATGTACTCATACACTGCATATATCAGTGGCAGTTATACCCTCATAAACGACACTCATAGAAAGGATGAAGAAGGACATTGTCACAGATTATTAAAGTTTCCTTATATAAATAACACACTGTCAAGGTCACATGGGTCAAATATATATGATTTAAATTTCAAGTAACATTTTCTAAACCCCCACAAAATCGAGATATACCAGCTGTGCAACTTTTTCGAACAAACTGAGTAAAGTTCAAAGGTCATCGTTCAGCAATCATCATTGGCTGATGTCAATTAAAATTAACATGCGTTTTAATGTCAAATGGATAAAAATCTTTATGAACCTCCTCAATTTCAATAAGGGCCAGGATAATGATATTTGGCCAGTACACACCAGGTATAATATGCTATGAAATTCATCATATAAATTACGTTAATCTATTTTTAAGATCACAAAGGTCAAATTTGCTTTAAAAATCAAGCATCATTTTCTAAACAACTAGGAGGTCTAGAGATATGTTCTGTAGACCATCAGTGCAAGTATTTAGGTCAAAGGTCATCTTTAAGCTCAGGTTTAAGCTCGAGTTAAAGGATACAGACTTTTTTAACATAAGTGACTTTGACGAAGTGAAGACACCTTGTTATATGCTGAAATTCTGTACCCAGAGAACCAGAATGATGATTTCATAAAATTAGGTATCATTAATTGAACAATTGCAATCTTGCAATCTTTTAATTACTGTGATATTAGTAAATGGACTAATTACCAAACAAAACAGCTGATCAGTAAATTTACAGAATATTTACATTACAAACATTCTTCAACTCTTCAACATCAGATTTAGCAAAATACATTACATATCTGAAAGTAGAAAACTATGTCATATGTATATCAGCTAAAATAGACTTTGATTAAAGGATACAGACTCAGAGAAGAAGTCAAATGTTGTTGTTTTTAATTATTTTTAGAATTAAATTCAATGCTACTGTCAAAACATCACTTGTCTTTTGTTGTCGAGACAGCTATTGTACTTTCATTATCACAATTGTCGTTTTGGATTTAGCCATTTCCAATAATTGTTATAAAATATATTGATTATTGTGTTGGTAAACTTCTTTTGTTTACCCAGTACATCTTAAAGTTGATCAAGTGATAATGTCAACGTCCATCGCCTTTTAGTGGTAGTTGTTAGATATACACTTGGTAGTTGATCCAGTCGTCACACACTGCTGTAGTGTAGGAGTTTGACTTTGTTAACCCCAAACACAACCCATAGGACATCCTTCTTGTGTACTCTAATGGCATAGGCACAGTAACCATCTTTGTGTAAGATCCTGAGGAACTCACCACACCCACTGATGAGTACGACACTCTTATTGTTAAAGTCCCCGATGACAAGGTTACCCACACTGTCATACACAACACCATATGGGTTAAACCTTTCACCTTCTGACTGTGATGGTGGTTGATATGTATGGAGGACTTCACCACCATACACAAATAGTTCCTTGAAATCTGTATCCATGACAACAAAACGTGGTTTCCCTTCACCACCTTGATTTTTATTATCAAAGTCAACCACTGCGACATTGTGAGTGACAGGACACTCTGAGATCCTGTATGGTCTACACACTAATGGTTTCCCAGTCCCTGTAGCTGGTGTAGTACATACCAATTTACCTTTTGTGGTAAATTTTGAGAGGTGTTTTGTCATCCCCACAATAACATGGTTACTAGCTGTAATACAAATACACTGTGGTGTCTTCCTGGTACTGAATATATCGAGGGTTCATTGCCAGAAGGTGCTATCTGGATTTTTTTACTTTTCGAGATAATTGAGATTTAAGGTTTTAAATATATATATTTTAATCATGCTTTACATGAGAATGTTATTATTTGGTAATATTGATGGCCTGTATAAGTACTTTTTACTGTACAGTACTTTTGGTCATATCTGTCTTTTAAACTGCCATATTTGGTCAAAATGCTCGATAGCTCCTTTTGGCCGGCGAAATTTACCTCAATAATAATGAGCAAAAAGGTGCTATCTGAAGATAGCCCCTTCTGGCAGAGATAATTTCTTTTAAACTATTAACAAAAAGGTGCTATCTGGTTAGCATCATATTACATTATAAAATCTTTCCATTCAATTGTTTGAAATTTATGATTTGAGGTTATTTTTTCTCATGTTATTGCAGAAGAATCTCCCTTTCTTTTTATTCTGTGAATCATAGCATGTTTTACATTGTTTTCTTAAGCATCAAGATAATCAATAATACGTTTGTAATCGTGATCATCCATTAAGGAATATTTTTTAGACTTTTAGATGTCTTTTCATTCTATTCACCATCCCCTGTCAATGTTATATTAGATGACATCAGAGTCAGGTAATTTATACTTTTATTTTTTCGATTTTGGGAACATTTCATAAAATCGCAAGTACTCCTCAGGAATGATATGCGATGAATATAAACAACAAAGATCCTTCCTTTATGTTCAGTAATTGGAAGTCTTTCTGTGTATCGTTTTGGCAAAGGCAAGTCATCGATCACCCAATGTTGTCTCTCCAAGAAGCTGGTACACACTTCATCGTACTGAAGGAAGATTTAAGGACATGCCATTAATTTGATTATCCCAGGTTGTTCTTTTGTATGTTGTATATGTTTGATATCATTCAGTAGAACCCGCTGTCCTTTGTCATCAAGAATGGTGTTTGTGTTGTACGATTTTGAAATGTTCTTAATATCTAAAAAATACCAATGCTTCATAGGTATATGACAGAGCATGGATTTGAACGCCTTTCCATGTAAACTACAGTATCCTGACGTATGCTTCTTTGCAAATTCAATTGCTGAATGCATATTATTACACTCAATCCGGGTGTGTCGGGGTTCAAGAAACTACTGATCCATAGTCTTTGTGGTCGCGCTCGAAGACACAGAGTTAAACAATGCAGTTGGAATAAACTTATTCTGACCTCTGCAGGTATCAGATAACAAGGATACATGCTAAACTGCATTTGGTAAAGAGATTAGGTATGATTAAAGACAGCTTCCCTTTTTGACCTCTGTTTTATTCCATGGATAACACTGTCTATCATGTGAATGGACAGACAGATTATAGCAACACAGTTTTCTCTTTTAGTATGCCTGATTAACAAGTAAACACATCAAATGTGGGCACATGAAACTTCTTTTCTTCCTTTATCTTGTCCATTTCCTTTTCATTTCTTACCTCTTATTTGCGTGTTGGTGTTGTTGATATTTGTATTTCAAACAGGCATCTACTATTCCTTTTGCTTCTTTCTGTGAATATGCATTGCAGATGCTGCATTGATCCCTTTTTGGTGTACGAAAGGACAGATTGTACTCGTTGCAAAATGTGTTTCGGTACACTGGCAGAAACAACTCTTTGGCGATTTTTCCTTTCCTTTTCTTTATATAGGGGATACATTTTATTTATTGTTAAGTCAATACTCAATTATTTCGTCTTGGAATCTTTTCTGGTGTAGTGTGATTCAACTGTCGGAAATAGCTTGATGTGTTGTCTAACAGAGTCGTTGTCAGTCTTTTGGGTCCTATTGTGTGGACTTTTACGGCTCTTCCTGTCGAAAACTGACCCTGATACTTTCTTTTTGAATGCACAGTCTATAATCATTTGGTTTTTCGTGTAAGTACATGTTCACAAATGAAATCACGTTGTCGGTCATTCGACTGTAAATTCCAATATGAATTAAAATGTTCCTGTCTTTCTTCTCCAGATATATGAGAGGAAGTCTGCATTTGCTGCAGTCTTGTTACTGTACGTCTCTCTTTTTAACAATTTTTCCTGTAGTACTAAGATATTACTGTCTTTTTTTGTCTCTCATTTTTTCTTTATATTCTTTTTTCAGTTTTCCAGTTTTAGATTTTATTTAAATTCATTTGCAAGTTATTTCTTTGGTGGTGTTGAAACAATTTCTTGTTCTCGTGGTGTTATATCTTTCAGGATTTTTGGTTCACTTTTACCTGTCTTTGGGGTAACTTCAAAAGCTGACAAATTAACATTTGGTCTATGTTGTGCATCTTCTATTGTAAGGGTGACACAAGTTTCATTGTGTTCCATTCCAAGTAGTAAGCAGTTTCTTTTCTAAGAGTTTTGCGAGTTTTGCTCCTTTTCAGTTGAGTTGAAATTGCTTGAAAGAGGTAACTGCTATTCTTTGCAATATCCTGCCTTTGTAATCCATGGCTTTTTAAAAGAACGTCCAACCTTCGCTGGTGAATTGCTAGAAAAGTTTTCTTTCTTTGTTTTTCTTTTATGCTTTTCTTCATGGTTTTGGCGATTTCAGATAGGGTTGTTTCGGAATCACTGCTACTGTAAATTGTTTACCTGTCTTTTTTGCTGTTATCCTTTATAATCGGGTCCGTTGGATCACTGTATTGGAAATTTTCACGAGAAAAATCAGTTTGATACTCCTCCGTTAAGGTGTTTCCATTTTCTGAGGGAAATATCTAGAGGGACAATCTTTGTTGAGCATGTATCATTGTCATGTTCTTTGTAATATAGTCTAAATGTGAAACAGCCATGAAAGTGCTTGCCTTGTTTTACACCATTAATCTGTCAGAATTTCGGACGTATTGTTATGCACTGAGAGGACATTTTCGAACAGAATTAAACTAAATTTTCTTCCAAATATGCAAACAATGTCGGTCATCTGTTGCCATACCAAGAAGCTCCCATTACTTTTATATTGTTTCATTAGTAACACTAACTTCACCTTTGTTATTATCTGTAATTACCTATTTGTCATATGTCAAAAGGGGCTAACTGGAACCTAATACCTGCGTATTAGGTTGCAAACTGTTCGGCCAGAAGGTGCTATCTGTGACATAGCACCTTTTGGCAGGCTAACTGTAGTAGATAGCACCTTCTGGCAATCAGGTTTTGTGAAATACTCAGATAGCACCTTATGTAATTATTAATTATTTTCATCAATAATTGGAATTTTGTACAGATTTTTTCACAGATTAAGGGTAATATATTAATAAATCAAATGGAGCAAAAAAACGTTTTTTGACAAAAATGGCAGATAGCACCTTCTGGCAATGAACCCTCGCTGTGTACTAGTCCTCCTGACACGAGCTCTGTGATGTTATTTTTCCTGTCACAGATCCACAGTGTGTTGGTTGTGGGTGACAGACTTATGTCTATGATCTCAGCATTGTGTGTAACCTCCTGTATTACTTTGCCCTTCCTGTCCAGGAGAGTTAAGGTGTTACTGTAAAAGTAACTGGTCCACACCTGACCATCAGTGATGGGACATACAGAAGTAATGTCACATGGAGAAATCAACTCCCCCAACACCTTGGTCTGAGGCAACAGAATATACACTGGACTGGTCAATTCTTTTTCCCCTTTTGATCTGTGTTGTGTAGAGGGAAGTCTTTGTCCAGTGGATGATCCAAGTAAGCCCTGACCCTGACATTGATCTGAGGTGTTAACTTCTCCGAAAGCTTGTTCCAGGTGACCCTGAGGATTTCGGTTCGGACTGAAGCTAGCAGTACACAGGGTAGGTTTTACAGGGAGAGTGGCAGAAGATTGAATCTCATGTCCTGTGTCGTAGACTTGTATGTCAGAGCCACGCTGAAGTGCTATCTTACATTCCTGTGCTTGGTGTTTTAACTTAGTACTGTACATTTCCAGGTCCTGTTTGTAGGTTTGTAGTAGCTTGGTGTTATCCTCCTCCATTTGTTGATAGAGAGACAGAGTCTGAGCTGTTAACAGGTCAAGGTCATGTTTTAATTTGTTTGTTTGTGTCTTCAACTGGTGTTGTCCTTTAGTTGTTTATCAGAAGAAGTGATGTATTGGTCGATTTGTACAAGATCTACAGTCTCAGTTCTGTTTATGAAGCTTTGAATGTCCTGTTTCTTTCGGAGTGTCATTTCCCTAAGATCACACACTGTATGACTCTTATGTACAGTAGATAGACACTTCATACAAGCAAGTTCTTTACATTCTTCACAGTAAACGTCCAGACATGTCCCTTTGTGGTGAATACAGCTGGTTTGACCTTTGGCACAAAATGGGATCTGACCTTTGTAATTGGACACAGCCATTTCAAAAAGAAAATGTTAAACCTATGCGTATTATCAACTTAATCAAAATGTTATTCCAGAGTTAAGCAGTTTATGAAATTTACAGTTTGAATTGTATCATATTGATCAAAACAATCACAAAGACAAGTTTGTTTCAGCAACAGGAAGGAGAATCCACAGTACATGTATTCACTAGACCCTGGGTTGTTGGTTGTGGTTGTTACCCACTGGGGTAATTGTGTTGTAGAATATATTTGTAGTCACTGTATATATTCACTCACCTTCTAGCTTGTTTTCAATGTCCGGCGACACAAACATCAACACTTAAATAAGCACATCCATCAGAGCAGATTGTCACAACATAATGATAGAAGTTATGTGAGTGTGATAAGGTAACGTCTGGGTAGATCTGTTAAATTTGTTATTCACACAACAGTCCCTTGATACAGTTTCTGTTGCCTGCCAATCCAGCATCAATATTCCCAACTTTTAAAAGTCACTTACAAAAAATCATCAACTGCATTGCAAATGGCTCTGTTTTAAATTTTCTTGAACCAACCTTGATATTATTATATAAATGTCCAATATCAATTGCTTCTTTCTTAACGAACAAGTCCAGGCCCATATTTTGTATCACTTCACTTTTGATTGAAAAAATTGGTAAAGTACGACCTCAACCTGGTTTACAAGTGATTATCTCCCCTTAGTTGGTTCACTATGTTTATAATTCTGTATCAACAGTATTCATTATATGTTCAGTATTGTTTACAAGGTTCATAAGCAAAACATTACAGTTAAATACGAATTTTGTAAACTGTGTTGCAACTATCTGCCTCTTCATTTCATTTAATAACTCAACAAAAAGAATTTAAATTTTTCAGATATAAAACAATTTATTTAAATAAATTATTTGTTTCCTCTATGTTAGTTCTAAAACATTGTAAACAGAAAATAAACAAGAAATCATCTAGGCATAAATATATATTGTATACAATGACCTCTAGTGAAGTTTATACAATGTACCTAAAGTCAAGCCAAAAGATCTAGATCTGTCTGAAGTAAAAAAAACCTTAATATTACTGTACTTATCCTGCAATAAGCCCAGGTGCCAACCCATAATTTTCGACTTCAAGTAGGGTGGGCTTATTACAGGACAATGCTTAATTATTGTTAGATTGGAGAAATTCCCTCTGGCCAAGTCAGTAACAAGTGACTAGATGGTTCACCACTGTGACATACCTCTACTTGAGTCAGTAATAAGTGACTAGATGGTTCACCACTGTGACATACCTCTACTTGAGTCAGTAATAAGTGACTAGATGGTTCACCACTGTGACATACCTCTACTTGAGTCAGTAATAAGTGACTAGATGGTTCACCACTGTGACATACCTCTACTTGAGTCAGTAATAAGTGACTAGATGGTTCACCACTGTGACATACCTCTACTTGAGTCAGTAATAAGTGACTAGATGGTTCACCACTGTGACATACCTCTACTTGAGTCAGTAAAAAGTGACTAGATGGTTCACCACTGTGACATACCTCTAGTTGAGTCAGTAATAAGTGACTTGATGGTTCACCACTGTGACATACCTCTACTTGAGTCAGTAACACAAGTGACTATATGGTCACCTCTGTGACATACCTCTAGTTGTGTCAGTAACAAGTGACTAGATTTTTCATCACTGTGATATACCTCTAGTTGAGTCAGTAACAAGCGACAAGATGGTTCACCACTGTGACATACCTCTAGTCGAGTAAGTAACAAGTGACTTGATGGTTCACCACTGTGACATACCTCTATCTGTGTCAGTAACAAGTGACTAGATGGTTCACCACTGTGACATACCTCTAGCTGAGTCAGCAACAAGTGACTAGATGGTTCACCACTGTGACATACCTCTAGCTGAGTCAGTAACAAGTGACTAAATTTTTCATCACTGTGACATTCCTCTAGTTGAGTCAGCAACAAGTGACTAGATGGTTCACCACTGTGACATACCTCTAGTTGAGTAAGTAACAAGTGACAAGATGGTTCACCTCAGTGACATACCTCTAGTTGAGTCATTATCAAGTGACTAGATGGTTCACCACTGTGACATTACCTCTATCTGTGTCAGTAACAAGTGACTAGATGGTTCACCACTGTGACATACCTCTAGTTCAGTCAGTAACAAGTGACCAGATGGTTCATCACTGTGACATAACTCTACTTCGAGTCAGTAACAAGTGACTAGATGGTTCACCTCTGTGACATACCTCTAGTTGAGTCAGTAACAAGTGACTATATGGTCACCTCTGTGACATACCTCTAGTCGAGTCAGTAACAAGCGACAAGATGGTTCACCACTGTGACATACCTCTATCTGTGTCAGTAACAAGTGACTAGATGGTTCACCACTGTGACATCCCTCTAGCTGAGTCAGTAACAAGTGACTAAATTTTTCATCACTGTGACATACCTCTAGTTGAGTCAGCAACAAGTGACTAGATGGTTCACCACAGTGACATACCTCTAGTTGAGTCAGTAACAAGCGACAAGATGGTTCACCTCAGTGACATACCTCTAGTTGAGTCAGTATCAAGTGACTAGATGGTTCACCACTGTGACATACCTCTAGATGAGTCAGTAACAAGTGACTAAATTTTTCATCACTGTGACATACCTCTAGTTCAGTCAGTAACAAGTGACCAGATGGTTCATCACTGTGACATAACTCTACTTCGAGTCAGTAACAAGTGACTAGATGATTCACTACTGTGACATACCTCTAGCTGAGTCAGTAACAAGTGACTAGATGGTTCACCACTGTGACATACCTCTACTTGAGTCAGCAACAAGTGACTAGACGGTTCACCACTGTGAAAAACCTCTAGCTGTGTGAGTAACAAGTTACTAGATGGTTCACCACTGTGATATACCTCTAGCTGTGTCAGTAACAAGTGACTAGATGGTTCACAACTGTGACATACCTCTACTTGAGTCAGCAACAAGTGACTAGACGGTTCACCACTGTGACAAACCTCTAGCTGTGTGAGTAACAAGTTACTAGATGGTTCACCACTGTGATATACCTCTAGCTGTGTCAGTAACAAGTGACTAGATGGTTCACAACTGTGACATACCTCTACTTGAGTCAGCAACAAGTGACTAGACGGTTAACCACTGTGACAAACCTCTAGCTGTGTGAGTAACAAGTTACTAGATGGTTCACCACTGTGATATACCTCTAGCTGTGTCAGTAACAAGTGACTAGATGGTTCACCACTGTGACATTCCTCTACTTGAGTCAGCAACAAGTGACTAGATGGTTCATCACTCTGACATTACCTCTAGTACCTAGTGTTCGTTTACATCAGAACATTGCTGGCTATGAATAAATGTATGGAATTTGAATATGTATCTAATCAAAATGACAAAACCAATTAGCGATTATCCAGATTCTCTTCTCTGACAAAACATTTTTTACAAGCTACATGAAAAATGTCCATAGTCTCCCTGTGTCAATGTTGGCCTTCAGAGTTACTATAATGGAATGCTGTGTGCTAATATTTGCGGCCATAATATAAGCCCTTGAGGACAAAACAGTGATGGTTAAACTGTGGCAAAACTGACCCAGTATACAGTATAACATTACACAAATATTGAATATATAACAAGAAATAAAACATACAACAGTAAACTATGAATATCAAAACACTTCTGTGTCTGCCGGGAGAATGCTTCGTTCACACATGGCAGGAACAACAGGTCCATCGGGGCTCACATGGCAGGAACAACAGGTCCATCGGGGCTCACATGGCAGGAACAACAGGTCCATCAGGGCTCACATGGCAGGAACAACAGGTCCATCGGGGCTCACATGGCAGGAACAACAGGTCCATCAGGGCTCACATGGCAGGAACAACAGGTCCATCGGGGCTCACATGGCAGGAACAACAGGTCCATCAGGGCTCACATGGCAGGAACAACAGGTCCATCGGGGCTCACATGGCAGGAACAACAGGTCCATCAGGGCTCACATGGCAGGAACAACAGGTCCATCGGGGCTCACATGGCAGGAACAACAGGTCCATCAGGGCTCACATGGCAGGAACAACAGGTCCAT